AAGGGGGGTAGGTAACCTAGTAATCCCCATTGTTCCCCAATACTCCCTAAGCTTCCCTAAGGCCCTAAGGTTCCCCAAAGCTCCCTAGTACCCTCCCCCCCTTGAACCACCCCCCCTTAAGGATCCTATAATACTACCCGAAAAGGTTAGAGGTTACCTACTCGACTACTCGGTTAAGCACAAAGGTCGGAGGCTTCGAATGCGGGCCTCCAGCGAAAAGCTTACGCCCCCGAGAACCTAAACTGGGTTGTAGTTTTGGGGCTCTGGAAAGTATTTATGAATAGGTACCTCTGTAGGAACCGTAAGGGGAATTTCAAAAGTTTGCCAAATCGCCACCTAGTAAAGTGCTTTCTGCGGCGGCCTTAACCGTTACTTCGGTTAAGTGTTCTTAGGATTTAGGGCTTCTGGAGAACAATAGTCCTTGAACCCTGAGCCCTCAGCGCCAGCCCCTAAACCCTATAAGCGCGCATGAAGTCCCTACAGCCTCCGCTGGAAAAACTTGCAACAACACTGAAGCCCTGCCCCCTACAGCTCAAGACCCCCAACCCTTGCAAAAACCGTTGTAAGCCCTCAAAACACCTCGCAAAACCCCTGAGAACACTCTCATACAGTCACTAGACCTCGAACCCTAAACCCTGCCACCCTAAACCCTTGTATAACCCTCGGAAACCCCGTCGGCTGAAATCTGTTAGACCGTCTCTCTCAAGCGATGCTTTTCATGAAGCCTTGAGTGAGGCCAAGATCGCGTGCAAGTCCTGCAACCGCTTTTGGGGCAGATTGGGGGGCTTAAACCCTAAACCCTAAACCCTAAACCCTAAGGTTTAGGGTTTTAAGGCTTAGGGGCTCAGGGGTTGCAGGGGTTTAGGAGTTTAGGGGTTTCGGGGTTTAGGGGCTTAGGGCTCTAAGGGCTTATGGTTCAGGGTCGAGGGTTGAGGGGTTGAGGGGTTTGAGGGTTTGGAGTTTAGGGTTCAAGGTTTGAGTCGTAAGAGCCGTATAGATTTTGGGGCGGGGGGTTGCGAGGGAAAAGCTTTCGGTGAATGTGAAAAAATGGCAAGAGGCTGTGGGGCTTGGCGTGTAGGCGTTGGGGTTCTAAGGCTTTGGGGGTTCGGGGTTTTGCCGAATATAAGGGCCTTACTAATCAGAATAGAGGCGAATTATGCTATAGTTATACTACAAGGAACCCCCGGAATAGTATAAGGCAATTATTGAGGTCCCTACTTAGACGTTCATGGCTAGTTATAACTGGGGTTATAAGTAAGGTAACCCATACTAGGGGACTTCTAACCCCACTTGTAAATACCCATGAACCTCCAAGTAGGCCCTAAACCCTATTCCCTTATAGAATCCCTATGGATCCCTTTAAAGGGGCCCTTAAAGGAGCCCTTATAACTGTACCCTTATAGGATCCCTGTAGATCCCTTTAAAGGGGCCCTTAAAGGTACATTAGGTCTCCGGATCTCGGCTCTACTCTGGGATAGCTGCTCGGAGGATCGGCGAACTTTAGGGTTTAGGGTTTAGGGTTTAGGGTTTAGGGTTTAGGGCTTAGGGTTTAGGGTTTAGGGTTTAGGGTTTCTTCGGAAGGCCAGCGAAGAAGCCTGACTCCTATCTCAACCTCCCATTATAGGATCCTTAAGGGAGGGTGGTTCAAGGGGGGAGGGTATAAGGAATCCTTAGGGGACTGCAAGGGAACCTTACTAGGGAGAATTAGGGATCACTAGGCTATTTACCCCCCTTGGACCCCCCTCCCTTAAGGATACTACAATCCCAGGACCTGCCATCGATAAACAACTACAGAAGCACGAACTCCCAAAGCGTAAACCCTAAACTCTAAAGTCTAAAGCCTAAACCCTAGATTTTCCCGGCCTACAACCCTCTCAGAACTTCAAAGACGCCCTTGGGGTTTAGGGTTTGGGGTGAAACCCAGGAATTCCAGAGCCTCTTCGTCGAGAAGCTCCTTCTGGCTTTTTCGTTGGAGGAGGCGGCTGCCTCGGGTAGGGGTTCAGTGTCTGCTTGACAGATCACGGGAAGTGCAGAGCAGGCCTAGAAGTCAGCAGGCCTGTGGCATAACCTGCCTGTGAACTACTAAGCAACCCGTGAAGCGTGAACCGACAAGGACGGTAGCGACATCCCCCAGAGGCAGCGCATCATGAAAAGATATGATGTAAGCACATCTTGTCGATTGCTTCACGAGCTTAGTACTTCAAACTACTTTTGCTTATCACCACGAACAACCTTGTGACGAAGCCCAAGGACACCCTAAACGGTATACTCGCGCCTGTATAACCAATATGTAATGTTAACCAGGTTTTGGGGTATACTTTCGCATAGTTACATTAAGGAGCCATAAGAGACAACATTAGTAATTCTTCAGGCTCTATTTTTTATTACCCTTAAGGGTCCAAAGCACTGCAGGTTTAAATTTGGGAAAGTACATGATAATTAGGTACTTGGACCCTTAGGGTATGTTCGACACTAAACCCCCATAAACCCCTAAACCCCTGAACCCTGAACCCCTAAACCCCTGAACCCTGAGCTGCCCCACGTGCTTCGCGCAGGACGCGCGCCCGCAAACTGGTAGTCTCGTCCAGTGGGGCGGCCTCTGATTGGGTCTTTAGTGTTTAGGGTTTCGGGGTTTAGGGGTTCAGGGGTTTGGGGGTTTAGGGGTTTGGGGGCTCAGAGGATTTGAGGGTTTAGGGGTTTAGGAGTTTATGGTTTAGGGTTGAGTCATAACCCTAAAAAGGTTAAGAAGGTTTCTTCAGGGATCTGCAAAGGGACTATAGGGGAAAGATTTAAAGTATTTACGGGTTCACGCAGGGTTTTGGGCTGCTGCAGAAATTCCAAACCCCCACAAACCAGTCCACCGAAACATGATTGCTGACATCCCGGTGGTCTGATTGCTCTTCGCGGACTTGGGGCTGTCGGCTTTAGAGGCTTCGGGATCTTAGACAGGGTAACGGCCATTCTCTACTTGTTGTCCCAAGATAGACCCAGTTTAAGCAGTTGCAATGATAAACCTGGCCATCTGGGCTCATAGCTTGAAGCTAAACTCGAAACCCCAAACTTGCTGTGGCTTAAGGTGACACGAATGAAACAACTTGAAACTGCACAAGGTTTAGGCCTGGTCTTGAACTTCAACCGGTGGAACCCCTAAGCCTACTTTGAGATAAACCGCCGTTGAGGAACCAGGCTTCAGGAGTTCAGCGATGGTACAGCTTGGGTTCGTCAGGCCTCAAGACGCGAGTTGTTAGGAGCGAATGCTTTTCGATTGAGGGTTGCCAACACCTGTAAGCTGCAAACTCCAAAACACACCCTAACATAGCGGCCTTATTAGAAAAGGGTGTTGGGGCACCTTCATTACAGCAATTATGACAGCGACTCGAAAGGGAAGTCCTCCGAGCCCGATCTTAATCTTGAAGCGTCCCACCTCAAGTCTCACGGGCGTGCAAAAGGTGAAAAACACAAGCACCTCACTGGAAGCTCGAGCTCGAGGATCTTGGCGTCATGCACCCACTCTCTGGACAGAAGACTGCTCCGGGCCCCAGAAGTTCTCTTAAAGCTCTCAGGGCCATTTAAAAATTGCTCTTCGCAGGCCTATGTCCCGTGAACAATGAAAGGGAAACTGCGAAGCCCTATGGGCTTCACCGAGGAGATACTCAAAAGCTCAAGCGAGCGTACGGAGTGAGGCGTGATACAGGGCTCTTATTGGGATTCATTTTGGGGGTCATGTTATACTATACTTTAGAGTCTAAACTTTAGAGCTTTCAGTTACTCGGTTTTTCGTGACTAGTTAGTTTTCTTGGCAATTCTGTCGACACCTACACAAGAGAGTTTACAGAACCATCAGACTGTATACGTAGGCTGTGAGCTTACGGCAGCTGAAGTCGTGCGTTGATACTCGAATCAGCTGCATCGCCAGGGCTGCGACCACCATACAAAATTCAGCAGTCGCAATGATGGGGGAATGGGCTCGGAGCAGACCCCCAGGACAAAGCCAGCACCTAAGGAAAGCCACAACAAACCCGAGGTAATGCCAGCAGCAAAGTGCATAACAGCTATGCACTGGAACCAAGGGAGCCGACGTGCCCCGTGCAGCCGCAACGGTGGAAAATGCTCTTGTATTCCACGGGAGTCCTTGCACATCACCTGCTTCGGGTGGAAAGGATGCAACTCCATGTAGAGCTGCCTCATGCGTGCTTTCCAGGGATCCAAAGGCAATAAGCTCTGCAGCACGATGGTATCTTCAAGCACTTCTATGCACAGGAGTGCGGCATACAGGACCAAAGTCTGCGAGTTGAACAGGGGAGAGGCCTCGAGCCAAACCAGCCGCCAAATCATGTAGGATGCGTAGGGGATGAAGCGAATGTAGCCACAAACAATCCGCGAGTGACGGTGGATCATGCTGCAGCAGCCAGGTCGCACTGCGATTTGCATGCATTGTGGCAAGAACCGGGCAAAGAAACTAACGTGGTACCCATGCCGAAATGCGAGATTGGTGCTCAGCACTATCAGAATGCCTTGGCCGCGCAGTGATTGACAGGCAATGCGGAATATTGCCAATTACGGGTCCTTGATGATTAGAAGAAGGTTTTCGGGTACACACATACATTGCTTGTGATGACGACTACAAAAGGGGGGGTCCCTTTTGCCAAACAAGGGCCCCGGAACTGCCGACCCACTGCCAGTCCCAGCTTGGACTTCTTGCCGCGGCGCCAAGCAGGCTCGTCAGGCGCAAACCTTCCGCGCCGGCATGGGCAACGGCGATCCTTCGTCGGCAAGCTGAGGTATAGGGTTCAGGGTCTGGGGTTTAGGGCTTAGGCAGCTCTCATCCAAGGCTCGAGATGGTGATGGGTCCGTTGTGGTCGCCGAGCACGACGCTCGGCGGATCGCCAGATGCCCGGGGCCACACATACCTCACGTAGTCTCAATCACGGTTACAGCCAAGAGCTCGGAAGTTGCAGCGCTGAGGCTGAGAAAGGCTGCTAGGATCGCACTGACCACCTCTACGTGTAGACAACGAGTATGCTCCACTGGGAAAGAACCAAGACCATATTCAGGGAAAGCAAGAAAGCTGTCCACAGAATGTGTCCTCTCGTGTCCTTGGTCCTTGACGTGCTATACGGTTTTATGCGAGTTGAGCGACTCGCACAAGTGCTCACGATCAGCTGCGAAACTGACGATATCTCAAATCCGCAGCTTGACATCACAAAGTACTGTATTCGCCATCCATGCCACCCATTCGGTCCGAGCATTGGCAGCATTAATAAGGCCATCTCCCAAAGAGTCCATACAAGGAAGCCGACAAGAAATGCCAGAACAGCTGGTCCTAGGTTCCCCAGTAGCCCCTTAATTATAAGGGTACCCGTTTTCCTACTATCTGGCTTTAGTAAGGGAACTGGGAACCCAAAAAGAACAAAAGGGCGAAAGGGTACTACTGGAAAACCGAGTGTCCGAAAGGCTGTCGGTAGCCGAGCAAGCCATGTGCCAACTGATGCGACCAAACATGTCCCGCCCACGCCGTCTGGGTGCGGCCCATGAACCACCACCAGCCAACATCTCCGGGTTGAACGTCGCGCTCGTAGAAGTTGACGACGATGTGCGAAGAAAAGTGAGCAAGCATGTAGTACGCAGCTCCAAAGGCGATGCTCACCAGGCCACCCCCGTCAACAAACATCTGCGGCAATGCCTCTTCCTGCTGCACGTGCACATCGACGGTCTCTGCCCACCCTGCAAGGGGTGACAGAGGCAACTGATGCTGCGGCTCAAGAGGTGGATCGACCCGAAGAACGGCACCTGACAGCTCCCACAGCACTTCATCGTCAAGCAGCACACGCAGGCCAACCAAGTCTTGGCCCTGAAAAAGGAGCTCGTAGGACTCTTCCTCGGCAAGAGCCACGATATCAGGGCCGGCTCGCATGAAGCCGTAATTTGTGCTTCGAAAGCGGCGCCGCAAGTGCCGAACTTCGGGGCAGCTGGTGCTTGCAAGGGCTGGTGGCTGCCATCGAAACGTTGCGGGGTCGAAGAGTAGCCGGTCGTGCTCACACGGCTCAAGCCTGCTTGGGAGGTGCCGCGGTGGCCGGTCGGTCCAAAGCAGGCATGCCCTTCCGCCAGCATCTACCCGTCTCTGCAGCAGCTGTACAGCCTCGGGGCCACAGCCGACGATGATGAGATTCACATCCAGAAGCCTCCAAGCAGCGCCCCCGGAAGGCTTCGGAGTAGGCACTGCTGAGGCCCACTGCTGCGCCATGGCATGGAGCTCTTAAGGTCATGCTCCGACCCCGATCTTGCCTCAATCTTTTCGAGCATCTATGCCTCATCCACTACTTTACGACATGTGCAGTGCAACATAAGTAGACGCAACAATGACAGATGGCTCTTATTCGTTGATTGATGATTTCATCCTGCAAATCTCTGGGTGCGCACCTGTGAGCCGAAAAGCGAAGCTCCCCCACAAGCAAAGTTCGACTTCAAGCCTGTCCAAGACACTGTTGGAATTGCTGCTCTTGCTAGAAGTTTTCCTAGAGGTTCATGAAAACATTTACTGGTGTCATAAGTAGGGTAACTGTTACAAACGGTATCAAAGGACCTTCTAACTCCACTTATAACTGCCCATGAACCTCCAAGTAAACCACTACCTTGGAGTAACCCTAGAAAGAAGCCCTCTTCGGCATCCTTTTAAGGAACCTCCCTAAACCGTAAATCCTAAATCCCTGAACCTCCAAGTTGTCTTGATTTCATTGCTCCCACCTTCCGCTCGTAGAAGCGGGGAATCGACCTGCAACAAACATACTTGGGTTTAGAGTTTAGGGTTCAGGGTTTAGGGTTAAGGCTTTTAGAGGGAAGTTTAGTTTCATGGGTTTAGGGTTGAGGGTTGAGGCCTCTAAAGGGAAGTTTAGTTTCATAGGTTCAGGGTTTAGGGTTTAGGGATGAGGCCTTTAAAGGGAAGTTTTAGTTCATAGGTTCTTTAAGAACCTTCACACCTGAGACCTTTGAACAGGAGGTTTCGGGGTGCTGGGTGTAAGGCGTAAAACTCTGAAAACACCTACCATCAAAACCTCAAACCAACTAAACCGACCTGGGGTTCTGAGTCGATGCAGGCTTGCAGGTCGTAACCCGTGCGGGTTTGATACGGCTGTAAGACGCGGGTTGGCCTGCTTCTAGCTGGTTCTTCTGGGGCTCCGACGCCAACTTACTTCAGGCCTGAGATTTGGGGGATGATACACGGAGCCATGTGCTCACTTCCAACGAAATCCAAAAAATTAGGTTCTCCGGCGATCCGCAAAGCAGGCACGAAGGAAAGCAAAATCGAAACCCTCCCCAAGCCACGAATCCCGTGAACTGCGCAAACTGCACAAATAGAATTGAAAACAACTGCTGCTAGATTCTAATTAGCGCGAATTCAAGCACTTTTCACACACTAGGTCTTGCATGTTGCTACTACTTGAAGAACAAGAAGGGCACCCAGTAAGTACGGCAGCCAACCATAGTTATACCATGCTATACCTACAAAACACCCGCATTAAGACATATACCTGTAACCTTTCTTCTGACTACCCATCTGGACGTAGCATAACAAGCCACCGTCACAGAGTCGTAGCACTTGCCACTGGAGCCTTTAAGCACACCACCCTCCCGAAACCCCAAAAACCACCACCCTCGGGAAGCCTCAGAAACCCTAAACCCCTAAACCCTAAACCCTAAACCCCTAACCCCTAAACCTTAAACCCTAAACCCCTAAACCCTAAACCCTGGGCCTCAGGGAGGGGCAACGCCGCTCCTCCTCTTGCCTCTCCCGCTCCTGCGAGGTCACGGTTGGGCGACTTTCGGCGTGATGGCTTTGGGGTTCCTTTAAAGGGATCTATAAGGGATCCTTAAGGGTTCCTTAAAGGGATCTATAGGGGTTTGGGGTTTCTCGGGTTTACAAACATGGGACTTTTGGTTTCGGGTTTTGGGGTTTAGGGTTTGGGATTTGGGAGTTTAGGTTTGGGAAACCGCAACACCGAACACCCGTGAATGCAGGCCCCAAGCTCCACATATACACACCCCAAAACCCTAGAAGTCTGGCAAATCGGACACCTATCGACCACCGTAAACCCTACTACAAGACTGCTCCCAGAAAAAACAGAAAAAGTCTGTAAAAATTGTCGGACAACCTGACCATGTGCTAAGACCAATAAACTCACGACTTTTTGTGCAATTAAACACGACCCGAGAACCCATAAACCCTAAAAGCCGGCCCTTGGACAAGCCACACGTGCTCCTCGGCCCGAAGTCCTAAATTCCAAGACCCGAACTACTAAACCATACCCTTCTAAAAACCTGCTATATCTAAACTTTTACAGAGGCTTTATGGAACCCTCGAACCGCAAACCCGTCTTGCCCAAGGGCCTGGATCTTCTGGAACTCAGCCTCCTGCCGGGACCCACACTGCTCGGGCATACGGTTCGGGGCTCAGGGTTCTAGCGTTTGGGATGTAGTGTTTCGAGTTTAAGTGGGTTTGGGTTTCAGGGATAAGAAGCAGAAAGAGGGTTTGGGGCTGTAGGGTTTCAAAGGTCTTTGATAGAGGCATTTGAGGGTTTTGGGTTGAGGCTTCGCCTGAAAGCCACCTTGCGCGCACCCGTGGTTACTAGGTCTCATGATGCTGCCGACACGTGGAAATGGAATGGAAGTGGCTAACACCAGTAGCTGTGGCAGCTCCGATCGTGTCATGGCCGCCCTCCCTTGATGACTTGCTCCATAACCGGGTGAAGGAGGTACCCGTGATGATCGCAGGGCAGCCCCCTCGCGCCCGGAGCCTGAGGCTTCGGAGCATAGCACAACCTGTTTCTTTATTTGAGACCGCTTTACCTCTATGGGAAGGTCGGTAGGTCTGTTGCCAAAGGCATGCCATGAGTCCGCAGGTTTCCTTCTTTTGTTGTTAGCCTTCTGCTTTATGTTTGGTGAATGCAGACCCAATGGCACCCTCCAAAGCTTCAGGCATGCCCGCTATGAGCAGAGCCCACTTGCTCAGCGTCAATAAATTGTTGTTGCTGTCTGTTGTTGGTGTCGTTGGTGTTGTTTGTAATTGTTGGTTGTAGTTGTGTGTTTGTTTGTTGTTGTTTGCCGTTGCCCGGTGTTGTTTGTTGTTTGCTGTTGTTTGTTGTGTTGCTCGTTGCTTTTTGCTGTTGTTTGTGGCTGTGTATTGTTGTTTGTTGTTGTTTGGTGTGGAATGTTGTTGTTTGTTGTTGTTGGTTGTTGTTGGCTACTATTGTGTGTCGTTGTTTGTTGTTTGATGCTTGTTGTTTGTTGCTGCTTGTTGTTGTTGGTTGTTGTTGGTTGTTGTTGGTTGTTGGTGGTTGTTGTTGGTTGTTGTTGGTTGTTATTTAATGGTGTTTGTTCTTGGTTTGTGGTGTTGTTGCTGTTGTTGTTGTTGTTGTTGTTGTTGTTGTTTGCTGTTGCTTGGTGTGGTGTTGTTGGTTGCTGTTGTTTGCTGGTGTTTGTTATTGTTTGTTGGTGTTTAATGCTGTTTGTTGCTGTTGTTTTGTGGTGCATGTCATGGTTGTTGTTTCTTGGAGTTTGCTGGTGTTATTTTGCCGTTTGTTGGTTGCTGGTGTTTGTTGTTGCTGGTTGTTGTTTGCTGTTGCTTGTTGTTGCTTGTTGTTGCTTGTTGTTGTTTGTTGTTGCTGGGTGTCGTTTAATTGTGATTGTTGGTGTTTGTTGGTGTTTGGTGTTGAACGTGGGTGTGTGTTGTGGTTTGGTGTTGACGGTTGCTGGTTGTTGTTGCTTGTTGTTGGTTGTTGGTTGCCGTCGTTGTTGTTGTCGTAGATAATGGTTGTTGGTTGTTGTTAGTTTGCTGTTTGTTGTTTGTTGTGTTTGCTGTTCGTTGGTTGTTGCTTGCTGCTTGTGGTTCGTCGCTTGTTGCTTCTTGCTTGTTGCTGGGTGTTTGTTGATGGCTGTTGCTGGCTGTTGTTGTTGTTGTTGTTGGTTGTTGTTGTTGTTCGTGGTGGTGGTGGTGGTGGTGGTGGTGGTGCTGGTGGTGGCGGCGGCGGCGGCGGGGGCGGTGGCGGTGGCGGTGGCGGTGGCGGTGGCGGTGGCGGTGGCGGTGGCGGTGGTGGCGGTGGTGGCGGTGGTGGCGGTGGTGGCGGTGGTGGCGGTGGTGGCGGTGGTGGCGGTGGTGGCGGTGGTGGCGGTGGTGGCGGTGGTGGCGGTGGTGGCGGTGGTGGCAGTGGCAGTGGCGGCCGTGGTGGCCGTGGTGGCCGTGGTGGCCATAGTGGCCGTGGTGGCCGTGGTGGCCGTGGTGGCCGTGGTGGCCGTGGTGGCCGTGGTGGCCGTGGTGGCCGTGGTGGTTTTGGTGGCTCCAACGAGAAACCGGAATTCAGGTGCCTGCTGACAGAGGAAGCAGTTCCGGGCGCGAAGGGCCGCGCACTCGGTCTGCGACCTTGGCGACACAGTATCCACAAGCCCACACGGCTCGCCTGTAGTGAGTCACCGGCAGCTGCAGCCGATGCTGCGACCTAAGGAAAGAAGAATCATCTTGCGACAACAATTGCACGGAACAGCAGCTACTGGGGCGCAAGCGCCGCCGCTTGTTGGCGGGCAGCGCACAGCTCGACCCTCCACCTCTCCGGCATCTTGAACAAGCCAAAACTTGAACAGGCCAAAGGGGCTGCGGAGTTTGCCTTCAAGGCCTGCTGTGCCCAACAAGGGGAAGTGAGTCCCTGTTTGGCCGAAAAGCGAGAGCAGCCTAAAAGACCATGCATATACAGTATAAGCGACAATGCAGAATCGCACAAGCTCGAATTTTGCGGAATTACTGGCATGCTGTGCTATCGGTCTGTATCACAACCACACCTACTTCTCGGTGCTGGCATGTTGGCCACGTCTGAGATGGGGCGCTGACAGAATCCAGACCAAGTTGCTGGGAGGGTACAAGAGCGGTGGTAAGAGAGACGGCAAGCAGAGAGAGAGAGATGGAGGGGAGGGGCAAGAAGACGAGACAAGTAGGCTGGAGGGAGAGACACGGCAGGTGGCATCATTTATGGTACACGAACTGCTCCAGGCTCCAATGTCATGGCCTGAGGCCACCCATTCCAAGTCTCATGCTCACTAAACTACACACAGGAGATCTCGCAAGCTTTAGGGCACGAAACTGCTGTCCTTGTTTGTCAGCCCTGCAGCCATGCAAGCTCGACAAATAGCCAACCCCTTGGTGAGGCACCTTGGCAACACTCTACTCAGTCTTCGATGCCTCCAGCACAATCTTGGGAT